ACTAAGACGAATACCAAAACAATGTTTTTTTTTGAATCAACACATCTATAAATTCCTATGAACTTGTGCATCAAGAAACCGAGGCATAAACGTATTTATTAGAATCATCATTCCTGCAGATAAGTATTTTATGACAACAGCAAATTACTGAAAAGAACCAACATAAACTTTCTGAAATGATTTTCTCCCCAACGCGCTTCTTCTGATTTGCTTCAAGTTGTTTTGATCTTGGGGCGTGTCGGAAGCAACTGTGATGTTGAATGAAACAAGAATCACATATGATCAGAAGAGGAAAGTTACGAACATTGAAAGCGGGTTTGTAATGGAGAACGAAGAAGAGTAGTGTTTACCTGGTAACATGAAATGATTGAGGTGGTAAATCCAAATGCACCGGTGACACGAGGAGTGATCTTTTGTGGAGATAACTGAAGAAGACCAGCTGCTACAACAATGTCCATGGCTGATTTGATCAGAGAAAGTGTCCNCTCGTTCGATTTTTTAAGCTTAGCACTATACTCCTCATCCTGCATTTTACACGATTCACAAACATGAATTGGGCTTCTAATAAGATTTTGAAGAATCACAAGATTGAGAGAGAGTTATTTTTCGATAAAAGGAGAGAGCATTACTTGATACTTGTTACCATTCTTAAGCCCCTTTTCGATCTTCTTCATCGATGAAGAGAGCCTTCCAATCTCACCAATCTAATAGCAGTTTAAACCGATAGTAAGTGGCAACATGTTTAACATTAGGAATCATCACGAAGAAAAATTAAATGAAATGTTTGTATATAAGGAACTTCAAGGTAGAGAAATAAGACAAACCTCGACTAAAGTTGTACAAACTGAGGATCCCATCCAGCAGAAAAGCGATATACGTCCAAGTAACTCAGCTCGCTCTTTGTTCTGAGATGAGACAAAATAAGACATTAGCCAAAACACAACACAAAACTTCAATAAACCAGTGGTATACAGATTTGACCTCTCTCTCTCTCACCTTATATATTCCTGATCTCCCAAGCCAGACAATTTGATCCAGGAACAAGAATGTAGACAAAAGCGCATTCTTCGACTGAAAAATAACAAAACACCCATCAACAAAGATTGATCCAGAACAAAGATATGAAACAAGCCTTCAAAACACTCTTAAACAATTTGAGTGCACAATTCACTAATGGGTTTAAAGCACCTTTCCAAGTAAGACAAGAGGAAGTGGAGTCCCTTTAGGCACAGGACTGATGAGACCATGTAAGTCATTAACAAACTGCAAC